CATCTTACAAGTTGCTCTTGGGTGTATTAATAGATTTAAACTTATGCTTCCAACACAATGCAGAAATGATATTGTAATATCATGCTCATGTGACATCATGCTTTTTATGAGGGCATATGCAACAACAATGACTTATCTGAAGCTGTTCATAGATTCTCTTGAACCCTTGTCTATCTCACTGCTATTGTCTATTTTTCCCCTTGCTTTTCTTTTGGACACAACGGTCTTAGTTTAGTTATGCTGAATGTTACAAAATATAGATAAAAAAAGAGTATGCGCAATGTATTACCTAAGTGAATGCACTTTTCATGAAAAGTATCATCACTTTCTGTTGCCTTTGAATCAAATATGTTGCTTGAAACTTGCTTGGGATTTAAAGTTTTGGCAAGCTAAATTTTCAACCCCCCATAACCTCCGCAAGCTCCCCTCCCTTTGATGCAAAATATTCCATGTTTCACACTTCCAAGCAGGACCATAGGTTTGACAAATTTAGCACAAATGCAAAATAATGTTTGTTTCCCAGTCAATAAATGAGTGGATATGTTGGGGGATTTTTACAGGATTAGTTATCTAAACCAAGCATGCACAACAAAACAAGGGAACTTCAAAAATGCAGCTACCAAGCTGCTTTTGCAAAGTTCACTATGTTTGCTTTAAAAATGCAGCTGCCAAGTGAACTTTAAAAATGCAGCTGCTATGTTTACTGAATGCTTCTGTTGTGCTGGGTTGCTACATTGATGAAATGGATTGTTGCATTGATGAAATGAGTTGCTGCATTGATGAATGAAGTTCATTATCCTATAATGTTGAGTTTTAATACCATTGTATTTTCATGTTTGTAGTGTTGAAGAATGACATCTTCAAGCACGCCAACATGCACGACAAGTTAAGATATCGTAATATGCATTGCCCTATTTGTAGCAAAAGAGCGATTATCAAAGTTTCTAAATTTGAAAAAATCTTGGGAAGCTATACTACGAATGTCCAGACGATTCCAATCACTTTTTTAAGTGGATGACTCCTATTTCTCTTCCCTCTTTGGAAATTACAAATGAGAGGATGGATATACAACAAATTGAAGACAATGTATGACGAATTGAAGAACTTTGTAATGTAGTTCAACGTGTTGAGGTTAAAGAATGTTCAATGAAGTCAAAAATGTTTGTAGTCACTTTACTAGTGGTGATGTTTATATTTGTGATTCTAGTGAAGTAGAGCTATAAGAGTAATGACGTAGTGATGAAACTTATGTTGTAAATGAATTTGGGCGTTTAATTTGAATGAAATTATGGGTTTTGTATATTTTTGTGACTTGGAATATTATATTCATCAAAAAAGATTACATTCATTAAGAAGATCACATTCATTAAAAAGATCACATTCATTAAAAATACAACAAACATCCTTATAATAGCTAGTAGTCTCATTAAAAATAAATAGTTTTCAACAAAATGAGAAATTGAGTAGTCTCCATATGCAATGGTGTAACTGCTGATCCTTACAAGTTGTATCCCCCATTCATAAAAAATGATTCAGCATCATTTAAAGAATGCACATGTATTGAATCAGTCGGAGTACCCTACATTAATGAGAAGGGGTCAGACAAAGAAACTTGATAAATATGTGAAACAATAAAATTAACAATAAAGTAACGTAACATAACACTTTGTACACTATTTGAAGCTTGAGAAGACATCGAATGACCATATGCTGATATACACGGGAGAGTGAAACCTTGTACCTGGAATACAAAAATACTTACAATTATGTTTATAAAAATATGAAGTTAATAAAAATATGAAGTGAATTAAAAAAATCTACAATTATATTTATACGATACCGTAGACATATGTGATGGTTGGAAAGCTCCTTTTTTTCTCTTTGTTGTTTTCTCTTGCCAAGATTTTAGTCGACCTCAACCCTTGTAACCACCTTCTTTTCTTTTTAAACCTTTAACTTGGAGAAGGGTTGGGTCAATATTTTCTATTCCACTTAGGTCAACATTTTGATGGATTGGGTCAACATTTTCATGGATTAAATCATCACCACCATCACCAATTGATGCATACATACTATCCACTTGTTTGAACAATTCTTCAACACCACATGATACTAATTAATAGGCAAATTGAAGACCAGAGCATCGAGCAGCTAGTTGTACCATTCTAGGACAAAGCTGTCTATAACGTGACGCCACCATTAACTTGTGATTCTCTTCATTTGACATTAAAATAGGGGTTGTCCTAAAACTCTTTCTTGCATCTCGTCTCCATCTTTTACATATGTATTGCTCGAGAATTTGCTTAATATTCATCATGTCCAAGACTTTAAGTGCATGGCCACATAATATTCCCTCCATTTCAAATTTTCGACAACTACAATTGCCTATCTCCTTATTAGCCATCATATAATCGAATCACAAATTGATGTCACTCATCCAACACATCACATAGTGTCGCAATAGCATACTGAAAGATATCATACTCCTCTTGGAACATGTCAAATATAGTAGGAGTGTACACTTGCCCTGCTTGCACTAACATTGGAGCTCTTTTTAACTTCAATCTAGGTAATTTTTGTCTAGTTTGGTATTCTGAATCTGACTCCTTATACTGCTTATCATTCACAACTCTTTCAAAATGTATAAAGAAATGAATAATGTCATGGTCTGACTTTAAGTACTTCCGTAAGGCTTCATTCAAGCTCTCACTCAATTGGGTGCTTCTCATTCCTGCAGTGAAAGTCTTTTTCATATACGCATGCCCTCATTTCTCTCGCAATGCCCAAGTGGCTTTCATCCACATATTATCATGCAAATTATACTCAATAAGCAATGACTCCCAAGCCTCAAATAATTTATGCTCTTCTTCATATTCATACACACTCTTTAAATCGAGCAGGAAAATGTGAATCATCCTTATATATGTTCCCCAAATATTTCAAAGTATTTTGACAAAGGTGCCATGTACATAAGCCATGATATGTCTCTGGTATGACTATAGAAATAGCTTTAGCCATCACTTGATCTTGGTCAGTGAAGATGGTAATTTGATATTTTTCAGACATAGCTTGTAGGAATGTCTCAAACAACCACTGAAATGATACTGTCATTTCATCATACAATAATGCAGCTCCAAATAAAACTGTCTCCCTGAAATGACTGAAGTCAGTAAAACAAGCAAAGGGTCAATACTCCTTGTTCGTTCTAAAAGTAGTGTCAAATAAGACAATATCTCCAAAGTTGTCATAGTCAATAATCATCACTGGATCGGCCCAAAAAATATTAGTAATATGCTCCTCCGCATTCAATTGCACTCCATAATACAATGATGGATTTTTTACTGCTTTCGTTTGAAAATATTTCAACAAACTATCGCCTCACCATACCTCAAGCCTTGTTGTCTCCTTTCACGGAGGTAATTCTTTTATTCTTAACGAGTAAAACCAAGACTTTCCTTCCCTCCAATCTGAGTACTTAAAAGATCATAGAAAGCTTTAAGTGACAATCCACAATCTGCTGCCATATCAATATTAATGCATTGTGCTTCGGTAACCTTCCGTTGGGATGACATCATATGCATACATTCAGCAAGGTGCAAATGATGGTTGTGGTTATCGTTCCACTTCACCACAAGAAATTTACCAATTTCTCTATTAAGAGATATACACATATGAGCTTGGCAATTTGTTCTTGTCTCTGCTCGAGACTTCTTTATTTGACACTCTCTTTTATCACGACCCCTTTGACATTGTTTACAACAAACGTATTTTCTATAAATGACAACGTCATCTTTCAAACTTTTATTCTGAAAATTTTTTCTCACGCTAAATCTCATAGACCATCCATAACTATTGTAAAACGCATACACATCTTCCTCCACATCAAATTGCATATCAATATGAGGTATATTATCAGTCGCATTAACTCCCAAATCATCCATCATAGTATCCTACAATAACAAATTTAATTGAAATGACATTAGATGGAACTAGATGTCATGTACATAAGGTTACATAATTCTTAAAAAAATTAATCATTATTCTATAAACAAAAAATTGTAAAGATTAGTCAATTCTTCAGTATTAGTCTTAAAATTCAACACCATTGGTGTATGATCTACTGGGTCTGAGTTGGGCACTTGAAAGTGTTAAAGTTCATTTGAAGAATGCCAAATGAAACCCAATACATCATTGGATTCCTTGTTGAGAAAAAATGCAGCACACAACAATGTCCAATTAGCAGAATATGCAATTTAACATCTAATATAGACATAGATTCTAGGAATTTGTTTTCAAAGAAAAAGTATCAATGTCTTTCATGTTCAGTAAATTGTTGCACAAAAAAGCAAAAGATTATGTGAAATACCCTTTGTAGTTCACCTTCTTGACAATCGTTTTGGCTTGAAACTTCTGGTCTGGGACGATGGATTTGTTGTTTCACAGTTGGAGAAAAATGCCCTTGTGTAGGGAAGGGAAGAAAATGGGAGAAATGGGACCTTGGCCTTCTCAATTGGATTCATTAAGGGGTTTTGGACTTGCCGCAGAAGTTTACCAAGGTGTTTGAGCAGCATCCTGTCATTTTCTACATTTCTAAGAAGTGTGACATTTCTAAGAACTAAATTTAGTTCACCAGGGCTAGTAAAGTAAATGTCAAAATCATGTACTGTTATTCTTGCCTGAGCTTTTGGAGTTCATAACCTTTGACGAAGAAGAAGATAGAGAATGAGTTGAGAAGAGGGAGTTTTAGCTGGGAAGATGGCGGAAGAACCAGACCCGACGAAGAAGAAGCGAGAGAAAGAAGGGAGGGTATGATGTTTATTTAAAGGATCAAAACGAAATCGTTTTGATAAAAAAAGACAAAAAAAAAAATTACAAAAAATACACCAAATGGCGCCGTTTTATTCAATATGCGGTTACTTCCCAACCGCATACGAGCTCCACCCGTTCGATCCACAGAGGTAAAGCGCAAGCAAGCAAGCAAGCAAGCAAGCAAAAGAATAATGGTGGTGGCCTCTGGAACCAACTCCTTCGCCAAAGAAATGGCCATCAGAAAGCGCATTGCCAGCATGTAATAAACCCTAACCCTCCTCCTCTCTCTCTCTCTCTCTCTCTCACACACACACACACACACTGTGTGTGTGTTCATATGCATGTGTATTTATGTGTCTGTGTTATTTGTAATTAGAATCTGTAATTTACTGATAATTAGTTTCATCTAAAAGAAATCGTGGGTATTGTTGAATTTTGTAATTTGATTGTTCATTTGAGGTCTGTTTGAGATTTTCTGAGTTGGGTACAATGAAATTGTAATTTGAACCCGAAAAGTTTGAGAAGTTAAACTCAAGATTGCAATTAGTTCGAACAGAAAATAATCGCTATCTCTGTCCGATAATATATCTATAGCTAGGTTTTTGAAGAATTTGGGTAGAGATTGAAATTACACTAATTTGTGCAAGTGATTGTAAATCTCGCTGGACATAGTAGCGATACATTTTTTCCACTGGATTCGGTGGCAACTTCTATATAAGAATCTGAAATTCCTTTACATAAAAGAAAGAAATTTGTTTTCTATACTGTTTGATATGTAAGATCTTGATAGTCAATATAGCATGGGGAATGACGAACTTGATGAGAATCGAAAATCTGGTGTGTTGGGTTAAAATCATCTGTTTACTATGTGCTCTTAGTCGATATGTACAGAGTATTACAATGAAGTTTCATTCTCAGAGTGAGAATTTGCAGTTTCAGAATCGTTACCTGCCCTTAACTCGTACTTCTTCTATTTATTGTGCAGATACAACAAAAGAGAAGAGGACTTTCCATCATTAAGGGAATACAATGATTACTTGGAGGAAGTAGAGGACATGTGTAAGTTTCTTTTAATTGTTTCACTCAATTTTCAAAATGCGAGCTTTAAAAAGATTTTTCTATGTTTTAAGGAAAATTGCTTTCCTTTGCAGTAGTCAACTTGATTGAGGGAGTGGATGTTCCTGATATCGAAGCAAGGATTGCACAGTACCAGAGAGAGAATGCTGAGCAGATAATGAATGCTCAAGCTCGTAAGGTATCATTCTAACTCATAAAGTTTCTTTTGCTTGAGTGTTTTGTGTTTGACAATATTTCATAAGCCTCAGATTCCTCATATTAAGCATTGGTGATATCCTTTGATCTTTTTTATGATATTCACATTCTAATTTCTATGGTCAAGTAGGCTGAAGAATATGCAGCAGCATTGGCAGCTAGCAAGGGACAGCCTGCACCAGCTGATGAGGATATGGTGAGTTGACCTTAAGGATGATAGTTTACTGATTTGAGCCACTGATGGTTGTGCAACATTATTGTAAAACTCTCACGGTCATAGTTAAGTGACACTAGTACTAAATGCTCAAGTTGTTTCTTGGATTGCTTTATATCTGTTGAATTTGTGATTATTCACAACTCTATATTAACTAAGTCATTTATCTCCTTTCTGTCGTGCATATCATGGATGTGGCGATGCTGAAATCTTCCTTTTGTGGCATATTTATTCTTGTTTTTGCCTCCCTAACCGTGTTATACTACCAGTCTACCAACACTTCAACTGTTGAGTGATAACATGTGCACTAGGATTTGGTGATGTTGAACAATAGGAAGTTAGAAGGATGTTGCCAATGTTAAGATTTATGGAGGGAGAGGTTAGTGAAAGTTCGTGTAGAATTTAAGAATCTAGAACAAAAAATACAATAATTTCAAAATATCAGGCTAAGAGTTTCTTTCTTCGACTTTATCGGAACTCTAAGTTTCATGAACGTAAGATTGTTTCTTTTATCCAGACCTTCACTTCCTTTGTCATGAAATTTTGGTTTTCGTAGGAATCTAAATGATAGGGAATGTTTAGAGTTGGTGGAATGCGCGAATTTTTTGAAGATAAAAGCAATAAGCTTGAAGGTCTTTTGGAGCAGATTCATTTCTTGACCTCTTTTTGGGCTTCCGTGTCAAAGAAATTTGAGGATATTCCTCTTTTTTGCATTACCTCTAGTTGGACAACATCATGTGGAATGTAGATTTGTTTTTTTTGCTTATGCCTTTTCTTTTTTGATTTGTCTTTGGTTTGGACTGCTGGTCCACCATCGACTTACTTTTGTAATCTTTTATATTATTAATGATATTATTGTTTCCTATCAAAAAAAAAAGTCAAGCTACAAGATTTTCATAAGAGTGGGGAGTGTTAGGGTTATGGACTAGAAGGTTGGCATAAAAACTAAGACTCAAAACAGGATTTATAGACCACTATGAAAGCACATTCCTAGCAAATTGAGAAACTGTCAAATGCAATTGACTCCCGAATGCAAGAAAATTGGGACAAAATTGACCAGCAATGCCCCATTTTAGTCCCCATTGATGGGGTATGAGAGGGATAGATTTGGTTTAGACTTAACCTTTGGCATTATTTCTCAGGTTTGAGCCCACAACCTCAAGGTTACTGTATATTGGGCCCGAATTTTAAATACAAATATAAAGTTAATATAAATGAAAAACTGAAATTGATCCCCTGTATGTTTAGTAGCATGGTCTCTGTAAGTTATCTATTGACCCCTCTTCCTGTTATCATTACATTAGCCAGTCTTTTCCCCATCCCCNCTGAAATTGATCCCCTGTATGTTTAGTAGCATGGTCTCTGTAAGTTATCTATTGACTCCTCTTCCTGTTATCATTACATTAGCCAGTCTTTTCCCCATCCCCTCTCTCCTTTTCTTCCTTCTAATTAGAAACAAGATTTTTATGCGAACAAATCTTGGAGGATAAGAATAAATAAGTTTGCATATAGGGTGAAATCAGTGAAGTAAGCTGTAGTAAATCATGTCTACTGTATGGAACTCAGGATTCCCTATTACTTAAGTAGGTAAAATTACTCTTCTAAAATGCTCACAAGTGGTTCCTTCTCTAGAGTCCCAATAATTAATCTTGGGGACCATCTGATAACCACTTTACAGGACTTAGCCTTGAATTGGTATTATTTGGTTTGATTTTAGATTTTTTTCTTATGTGCAGACATTTGGCCCATGGATAAGAAGATGGGCTCAATGTTCCTCAGCTTCACATGAGAAATGCATAAATGTCTGAATTTTTCTGTAATCAGAAAAGCTTTGTTAGATGTCTATCCGGGGACACTTCTTTTTTGTCATTTTACATCTTGGTTTGAGCATATGTAAATTCTATTTTTTAGAAGAAAATGTCTATTTTTACTTTTATATCCGTCTTTCTTTGCATGTTAAATGAGTATTTCAATAATTTGCTTGCTTTTTGTTACTTTTCCAGATTTATTTGGTGTTCTGAACTCTAATGTGAGGGATTTACATCTTCTCTGGAGCCTTGACTGCTTACCCCATGGATTTCATGATGTATTTTGCGGTTTTCATGCATATGGATGCATATATTTAGGACATCATTATATAACTACGTGTCTGAGGAAGCTACTGGCATTCTCGCCCCACTAGGTTCTTGTAATACTTTTTCATGCTTCCACTTTCCTTCTTGGAATTAGGGTCATTTGGAGTTGTACTCTTTTTACTTTTTCTTGTGAATCTGGATTATTTCTTCTTCATTAAAAAAATTATATATGGACATAGATTTCTGACAACTTAGGGATTGCCCCCATAATAGCCTCCACCAGTCATTAAGTGGTTGAAGAGAACTTTTATTTTTAGCTAAGAAATGCAAGGATATGTGCACGCTTATATTCCTGTGCAAGCAAAAGCGCTTCAATGAACGAGGAGAACTTCAAAGAGGATGTTGGTTAAGGAAATGATTGAACTCACTGAAGAAAGGATGACTTTGTAAGAAGTATACTTACAAGAGAAATTTTTTTTTTGATAGGAAATTATAGAATTTTATTATTAAAGAAAAGACAATAATNACTTTTATTTTTAGCTAAGAAATGCAAGGATATGTGCACGCTTATATTCCTGTGCATGCAAAAGCGCTTCAATGAACGAGGAGAACTTCAAAGAGGATATTGGTTAAGGAAATGATTGAACTCACTGAAGAAAGGATGACTTTGTAAGAAGTATAATTACAAGAGAAATTTTTTTTTTGATAGGAAATTATAGAATTTTATTATTAAAGAAAAGACAATAATGCATGAGAGGACAAGTAATCCTCCCAGATATAAAACAAGGAAAAAAAATGATGACATTCCTGAGTTATTGTGAAGGATTAAGTATCAACACATATGGAAAGCCGCTAAGTCTTAATCTGGATGGAACTCAAACACCAAACAAAATTATGACTACTAAATCACATANAATGATGACATTCCTGAGTTATTGTGAAGGATTAAGTATCAACACATATGGAAAGCTGCTAAGTCTTAATCTGGATGGAACTCAAACACCAAACAAAATTATGACTACTAAATCACAAAGCATCCGCCCGAGTTTGAATAGTTAAATGCATATTCTTTTTTCAAGGAGAAAGATGGCCACTGAGGTTGACAAACAAGAGACGGGGCGCAACTGAAGGGCACACAAGGTGTACAATCTGTCTATATACATCAGAGAACATGTCTCCCCTAAACTGGACAAAAGAATTCAAGAGCTCGGTGAGGCTTCTACAATGTTGAGAAAATGGGTATTCAGCATGTAACTCGTCAGTCTAGATACCTGCATTTCCTCCCCTNCTATATACATCAGAGAACATGTCTCCCCTAAACTGGACAAAAGAATTCAAGAGCTCAGTGAGGCTTCTACAATGTTGAGAAAATGGGTATTCAGCATGTAACTCGTCAGTCTAGATACCTGCATTTCCTCCCTTTCAGAGGCTCTCCAGTTCCTCATGCCAAATACACCAGAACAAGAACTCTTTTATCCCCATCCCCTCCTTCTTTAGAGGGACTCATTGGCCAAGATATCTAACAGACCTGGACACCCACAAGACACCATAAAGAACCAGAAATGGATCGCAAAATTTCTTAGCAAGTGGACCACAAAGCAAGTGATGCTCCATGCTTTCCCCAGAAATCTTACTCATAAAACATCAATTGACATGGACGTTCCTCCTCTTAATCAGGTTACAATTGTAGAACAATTTCTTGATAGCTTTTTATCCTTGTCTTGTTTGGCATTCTGATTGCTTTTAGACTTGTTACCTGGCCTTTCATTGGTGAGTCAAGATAAAAATGAATGAGATAGTAAAGCTCCACCTTAGATGTGCTGCTGTACTCGTCATCGCAAATTTTAACTTTATGAACGTGAATTCACATCATTTTTCTCATGTTCTTTCTTGCTTTTGTTCTGCATACTTTGCCAGCCGATTTGAAAGTCTAATGATATGCCCTGCTCCTACTTGTATATTCATTTGGCCGATTAGTTATCCAGGAATAGTGTTAAGTTTCACCCAAACAAAGGAGAAAAAAAACAAACAGCACACTTTACATACATTACTTACGTAGGCCATCACTTTCGAACCTTTGTTTTTCTGTTGTTCAAGATTGCAACATCAGGAAGTGTTCCAAAACCATCCTTTTTGAGTCCAAAGTTGAATATTTTAAACTTCGTGTTGCATGGATGGTGGTGAATTATTATTTAAAGTGATCTAGTTATCTGAGGATGTTGGGGGGGATAGATTGAATACATGACTACACTTTGGCACTCATTGTTTAGTCCAAGTATTCTATGATTGTAGTAGGCCATGGCAGTAGGCAATGACCCCTTGTCATCGTTATCATCTTCTTTGTGTGTGAGTTTTGTTAGGGGGTGTGGTTAAATGAATGAACTTTGGATTTGTGAATTATTTTATTTCGAGTGTGTTCTTAGGAATGTCACTCTTAACTACTTTATCTTCTACAATCCAGGCAACTAGCCAGAGCTCTCAAGCAGGGGCAAGTGCTGGTGCACAGGGGCATTATGCCCCTGCGATTGCTGGGGGAGTTCAACCACGGCCAACAGGTATGGCACCACAACCTATCCTGATTGGATCGGGGCTGGATATGCTGGGATATGATGATTTAGATGACGAAGAGAAGATGAAACTCAAAGCTGAGAGAGCTGCAAGGGCTGGAGGGTGGAGTGTAGAATCAAGCAAGAAAAGGGCACTTGAAGAAGCCTTCGGAAGCATTTGGATATGATTTTGAGTCTTGCATTGTCTGCAAGGTAACAAAATTTTCTGTCAGATTCTGACATGAGAGAATTGACTATAACAATTGAGTGTAAAGTACTTCTTCTGAGCGGATGTTTGTAATTGTCATGATCCAGGACATGCACATAAAAGCAGCAGGCTAATTATCATAGATTTTTATTGTGTAATATATTTTCGAGGATTTTTACGTGTCCTTGCGAGTTGGAAGTTCGTGGTGTAATGGACTTGGGACAATTAGGAGTTAACATATCCACAATGAAGCACAAATACTCCATTTACAGGGAACTAATTGTATTGGATCTGATATTCATTGAATACTCGAGGATATGCATCGACTACAAATTATATGTATAATTAACAAACCATTTTTTTAAAAAAAAATTTGGGTAGGTTTCTGATATGTGTTTAAATATACAATAACTATAAAAACAAAAAAAAAAAACAAAAAAGTCAGGCTAATTGTCATGGATTTTTCTGGTGTAATATATTGCGAGTTTGAACTATTCTGATCTTTGAAAGTCGTATGTACTTCTGCGTTGGAAGTTATTGGTATAATGGATTTTGACAGTTTAGAAATTAATGTATCCACAATCCACAATAGAGGGCTGCAATTACTGCAGGGTTTTTCTTCTTCACTAATTAACTATAGGATTTTTCGGAAGTCGGTACATTAAATTAAATTAGACGTAATTGTAAAAAAGTACATAGTAAAAAATGTTTTGTAAAAAATTTTACTAGTGATATATAAAGACTTCATTACCTTTTTTACACAATTTAGTTTCCAAAAATCTGTCTTAGAATAGTATCCTTAATTTTAATTATTTCACATTAATCGCTCTCTAACTAGCGTGACCCTTTATTTTTGGAACACACTAAGTAAAAAACGATTATCTTTCTCTCTCTAAAACAATACATCGTTGTTCTTTCTCTAAAAATGGGATTTTGTAATTCAAGCAAGAATTCAACTCGTGTGACGTTTTTTCTTAGTCATTGAACAACTTTTTTTTTTAAAATCATATTCTTCCGATTTTGGGTGATGTTACACTCAGATTCAATATTCAAACAAAAGAAGTTGTTGAGCGTAGATTTTGGGCCTGCAATTTCGACGATAAGCAATGATTTTATTTTCGTTTTTTTTGGGTTTGTGTGATGCTTTTAACATTATTGTTTATGCTATGTTGCAAAATGTTGATTTTGATTTGGTTGTTTTTTATTTATTTGATTTGGGCAAATCAATTTTTTTTTTCAAAAAAATTGATTGTGAATGTAAATTTAGTATATACAATGAAATCGCAAAAACAAAAAATNATTTGGTTGTTTTTTATTTATTTGATTTGGGCAAATCAATTTTTTTTTTCAAAAAATTTGATTGTGAATGTAAATTTAGTATATACAATAAAATCGCAAAAACAAAAAGTNAAATCAATTTTTTTTTTCAAAAAAATTGATTGTGAATGTAAATTTAGTATATACAATGAAATCGCAAAAACAAAAAATACAATATGTCGTTGTACTAGTACATTTTTGTTTCTACATAAAAATCCAAAATCGTTTAATCTTCAAACCCTAGTTTATGGTGCGTATGGCTTATTTTTTATTTGGTTTTGTTGTTTTTCTAGATCATTGATGATTTTCAATTGGTTGAATAAGACTATCAATTTTTCTTAGTACATTGTTGCTTCTCATTTAGTGGTTGAGCTATTGTAACATTGTATTAATATCGTGTGTTGTGTAACTGTATTCCTACACTTTGCTAATACACTTTTAATTTAATAGCATTTGTGTTGACGTACTTTCAACCATACATCCTGAGTATTTTGATTTTTTGGTATCTGGTGAATGTTTAGAAAATTGTGTAGTATGTTGAAGATTTTATGATGTTGACAATATAGCTTGACAAGAAACGGTGTATTAGGTCAGTCTATTAGATATGTCAAATGTGTTCAAAAGTGTAACTGTAAAATGTTACATCTTTATGTTTATAAATGAATCAATGGAAATCATTTTCAAAATGGAACTCAAGTTAATTTTAAGTATATCTGATGACTATNGTTGAAGATTTTATGATGTTGACAATATAGCTTGACAAGAAACGGTGTATTAGGTCAGTCTATTAGATATGTCAAATGTGTTCAAAAGTGTAACTGTAAAATGTTACATCTTTATGTTTATAAATGAATCAGTGGAAATCATTTTCAAAATGGAACTCAGGTTAATTTTAAGTATATCTGATGACTATTAATAGTGTAGTAAAGACTGTGTAACAAAATCAGTGTAACAAGTACACACGCAGATTTATACAATAGGTTTCCTACAATGTAACAACCCAATGTCTTATATTGTTGTTTATAAATGAATCATGTAAAACAATTCCCAATTAAAAACACAAAAGAGAGATCTAATGAAAAAAAATTTATGTACCCTGTGTGGACACACAGTCTAACCACCNTATTGTTGTTTATAAATGAATCATGTAAAACAATTCCCAATTAAAAACACAAAAGATAGATCTAATGAAAAAAAAATTATGTACCCTGTGTGGACACACAGTGTAACCATCAACAAATAGGAAGCTTATGAACATAAACAACGTTAAACTGGGAAAAAAAATCATGACGCAAACTAGTAACACTATCCAATATGGTGTTCCTAGGTCAAAAAATAAAACTGGCAAAAAAAACATCCCTGAGGTCATGTGTTGTGCATGGGTGGGTAACCAACGAAAGCAAAAGAACTATGAAAAAAAGAAAGAAATGGAAGATTGAAAAAATTACCATCCACTATGGTGCTCCTAGATCAACTAAAGAACAATGAAAAAAAGAGAGAAGAAAACGGAATAATTACCAGTACTATGAACGAAAATATTAAACAAAAACTTAATGAACTCATAAATTCAAACCTAATAATATGGCTTTGGAGAATAAAAATGATGTTATGTTTGAGCTTTTCCAAATGATAATGGCTTGTGTTTTGAAGATGAAGAAGAAGAAGAAGAAGAGAACCAACGATAATGTGAACGAATTTAAAATTTAAAAATGGATGAGATATACACAATAAATGAATGTTATAAATCTGTCATAATATTAAGAAATCTTTAATACAATAAAATCAAATAAAAACTTAACTTAATTGCCTCAAAAACAACACATGATTTAAAGGAGGATACATATGTCTAAGGAAAATCAGAAAACTCAAATTGTGTCTTTGGACATAATTAAGTTCTAAAAAAAAGGACTTAATTACCTAACATTAAAAATTATGTACNGGAAAATCAGAAAACTCAAATTGTGTCTTTGGACATAATTAAGTTCTAAAAAAAAGGACTTAATTACCTAACATTAAAAATTATGTACTTTTTGATACTTAAGTCTAATTTTTTGTACCCCCTTACAATATCTTGTTGACGATAATATTGCTTGTCGGGGTTTAATGTTTTTATAATTCCAAATTCTGTTGGATTCTTGGCCCTCGNTTACAATATCTTGTTGACGATAATATTGCTTGTCGGGGTTTAATGTTTTTATAATTCCAAATTCTGTTGGATTCTTGGCCCTCGTCTAAATGTTAAAGAACTCACTTGAATATAATGAATTTTATCAAAGTTCATGGGATTGGAATCAGAGATGACCATTTTTGGTCTTCACAAATAACGTTTAATTTGGCTATCAAACAAAAACTGAGAACAAATAGAAGCACAAAAAAAAAAAAAGAAGAAGAAAAAAAATTATCACCATTTTAAGATTGTTTGGAATTAACGTTTAATTGGTAATCAAACAACAACTGAGAACAAATAGAAGCACAAAAAAAAAAGAAGAAGAAGAAGAACAAAAATTATCTTCATTTTAAGAATGTTTGGAATTAGGCTTCTTGATGTATTGTGGTAAGTGGAAGCTTTTATATCGTTTCCTTGGTTAGGTGAATACTTGTATAAGGGAAAATAAAAAAATTAAAGATTGGATGGAAAAATAGTCAACATCATAAACATAACATCCAAGACTGGGAGGCATTGTATGAGTTAAAAGAGGGTATTGGTCCTATTGGATTATAAGTTTTTATAGAAAGTGTGGGACACCGAGTCAAGCATGCCAGGAAGCTCATGCTGGTCGGCACTCATTTCCCGAAGTAATCTTTGTTTGGCCACCCTATCTCTAATCAAGCTACTACAAGTTCTCTTGCTCACTTGCATGTTCGTATGACTAAACGAGTGTTACTCTAATACGGTCTGACTAAGGAACAAAATTCTTATTGTAACACTACTTTGTGTTTTAAGGAGCTAGTGATAGGATCAACGACACCACCTGACAAGTACATCTCTACCTTAAACCTAGGAGTACGAGTCCTAGTTCAATACTGTTGGATCAAAATAGTTTCTTTAAGTATAAAAATTAAATTTTGGTCGACTTTGAGTCTAAATTAAAGTGGGACCTGATTGTTATTTTGAATAAAATTTCGTGGGTTTATATTCTACTCCGTGTAGAGAATAATGTAGTATATTCACTTGCTCAAATCGAGTAAGAAATGAATGAGAAAATAGGCTCCAAAGTGACCCTCTTGAAATGTGAAAATAAAGGAAGTGCAATGTGAGATGTGACACCAATCCCACATTGGTTGAGGAAGAAATTCAACATGGGCATATATAGGCCAAGTTTGCTCTATGAGATTGGGCCCTAAGGGGTACCACAGTTTTATAAGCAGAGCGAGCATTTACATAACTTCGGTTCAACTACACACGCGCCGCTCGCCCGCCCGCCTCGCCATGACCCAACCCAGTCGGATCGAGCCAGGTACGGGTGTGAGTTAGACCAAGCCCTATCTTTTGGAAGAAAATTTATTTAATTAATTGGGCAATAATTTCTTAACCCAAAATTTAATTTCAGTACCTATTGGATCGCATTCGGTGGGATTTGTTGCCTCCCTCTAGACCGAATTAAATTGTGACTGTTCATGGAGAACAATTATCCATGGTATTTATTAGCTGTTGTGTCTTGT